AAATTTTCCTTAATTATAAAGTCTTTACCGCCCTAAAAATATTAATAAAGATCAATGTTACACTTACAAGATATTGAACTCAATAACATTTATACTCCCACTATTTCAAAATGTAAGTTGTTTTAGCTAAAAGGGCGGATATTAAGAAATTATTTTTCTATTAAAAAATATCATTTAATATATTTAATAAAAATAATATGACCAATCACACAAAAGACTGCAAAATACTAATGGTAACACAATATTCAATAAAGTTAAAAAAATACCTAGGATTGTCAAAACAACTTACATTTTGAAACAAAAAAAACTTCCAAAACAACTTATATTTTGAAACGGAGGGAGTATATATTTTGATCAATATTACACATAAACATATCAAAACTAATGGCATTAGCATATGCTTGATAATCACTTTTATTACATTTATACACAATACATATTATTTTTGTATGTTTATAAATATTAGAAATTATATGTTTTGTCATACTTTAAATATATAAAAAATTGTATATATTAAATCAATTAGTCATTTTGTTTAATAATCTCGCGCTTGATGCGGATCAAAATCTTGTTTTAATATGTACCAGATCCTTTTTAACTCTTTTGATAGCGTGAATTTTTTCTCTTCTTCTCTATTTGAAACAAATAAAATAAAAATACTTGACGAATATTTCTCATTTGTGTTGGATCGCGCCATCAATCCTCTCACGACCTTGACTTTGTATCGGTCCTTAAGACAACAAAAAAATCTTCTCATTAAGTTTTATGATATCCATTAACTATGTGAAATTTCTAGTTCGGAATATATTTTTAAGTTGAGCTCAATGCACTTTATCATCAATTGTGGGTTTATATGCATCAAAATGTGTGATTGTGATTTGAGTGTGATAATAAAACAGTTCGAATGTGATGTGATTCGCTAAATTTGGAAATGATAACGCGATATGGAGGCGATGTAGCCAAACAAAACTAGACATTAATTATCATAGGTGGTGGTTGGAGGTGGTTGGAGCGGATTCGTCCGAATCCGGCCCACGAAAAATCTAGAAAAAATGAGTTAAAATAACATATAAGATCATTTCCAACCCTAAACTCTATTTTTTACTCGAAAATGGAATTGTGTTTTACTCCAATCCTACTCCATTTTGGAGTCAAAAATAGAGTGAAAAACAA